CAACACCCGATGCCCTGCTCTGCCCTGTGCCCACATGGACAGATGTGTACACACACACCCCACACAACACCTGATGCCCTATGCTGTCTGTGCCCACATGGACAGATGTGTACACACACACCACACACCACACGATGCCCTGCTCTGCCCTGTGCCCACATGGACAGATGTGTACACACACACCCCACACAACACCCGATGCCCTGCACTGCCTGTGCCCACATGGACAGATGTGTACACACACACCACATAACACCCGATGCCCTGCTTTGCCTGTGCCCACATGGACAGATGTGTACACACACACCCCACACAACACCCGATGCCCTGCGCTGCCTGTGCCCACATGGAAAGATGTGTACACACACACCACACACAACACCCGATGCCCTGCGCTGCCCTGTCCCCACATGGACAGATGTGTACACACATGTACACTCATACCCCACACAACACCCGATGCCCTGCTCCGCCCTGTGCCCACATGGACAGATGTGTACACACATGTACACTCATGCACACAAACACACCCCACACAACACACGATGCCCTGCTCTGCCTGTGCCCACATGGACAGATGTGTACACACACACCACACAACACACGATGCCCTGCTCCGCCCTGTGCCCACATGGACAGATGTGCACACACACACCCCACACAACACCCGATGCCCTGCTCTACCCTGTCCCCACATGTGGACACGGGCACACACATCACATTACACACAACACCTGATGTCCTGCTCTACCCTGTCCCCACATGTGGACACGGGCACACATCACATCACACACAACACCTGATGTCCTGCTCTACCCTGTCCCCACATGTGGACACGGGCACACACATCACATCACACACAACACCTGATGTCCTGCTCTACCCTGTCCCCACATGTGGACACGGGCACACACATCACATCACACAATACAAACACCCACAGAAGCCCGGACTGCAGCTTCTCCTCATCACCTTGTCACTGGCTATGGAGTGAGACTATCTCAAACCGGAACAAAAGCCAGGTGCTGGTGGATCGAGCCTTTAATCCCAGCACTTGGGAGGCAGAGGCAGGCAGATCTCTGTGAGTTTGAGGTCATCCTGGTCTACAGGGTGAGTTCCTGGGCAGACAGGGCTACACCCAGAAATTTTATAATTGTATCTCTAAGAGAAAAAAAAAAGGAAGAAAGAAAACAAAGAAAAAACAAAAACATAGCTGTGAAATGACAGGGATGTTGTCATCTAGACCCTGGGGACAGATCTGTCACCAGGGTGTCATGGGATCCTGTGCCTGCTCAACTCTACAGGTGCACAGTCTCTGAGAAGCTGCGGGGCTCTGCCCCGCCCCCTCACTCTCCTTGCTCTCACAAGGCTACCTTATCTTCTTTACTTTTCTCAGTTTAGTTTTTTTAGACAGGGTCTCCTGTAGTTGAGGCTGACCTTGAACTCCTGACCCTTCCACCTCAGCCTCCTGAAAGCTGGAGGAAAAGTGCACGAAGGCACCCAGCCACCTCTAGTGACCTCATCAGATCCCATCAGAGTCCTTTCACAGGAAAGCCCACTGCCAGGTCTGGGGGCTGCCACCACACCCTGGAGGAGCTTCTAGAGGGGGGCAGTAATGAGGATGTCACCCCTATTCTCCTGACAACAGCTTGGGGTGTTTCCTCTGCAAAGGTCACAGATGGTAACAGACAGCCCTGGTAGCCGGCAGCAAGGGATAATTTTAAAGGGCCAGCTAGATGGCTCAGCGGGTATGAAGGTGATTGCTGCCAAGCCTGATGACCTGAGTTCGATCTCCAGGACTCACCTGAGAGAAGGCAAGGACCATTTCCAGCAAGCTGTCCTCTGATCTCCACACATGTGCTATGGCATATGCACGCGCACACACACAGAGTGAATAACAAACGTTCCAGGCCCTATTCTCAACAAAGCCACCCCTGTCCCAGGTAAAGGCCAGAATGCCACCACTCAGCCCAGGCAGGGACATCCTGTATTACTATTTCTGTGAGGAGAAGGCCTTGTTGTGTGGTCTAGCCTGGCCTCAAATACCTTGTCTCTAGGATCCTCATGCTTCGGTCTGCAGAGCATCCGGGACATCAGATGCGTACTTCCACACCTAGCTGACTAAAGATATTCTGTGGCCCAGGTCCTGTGGCCTAAGATACTCAGTCGCACCAGGAACCCAGTGTCCCAAGCCGATGGTCAGCAGGTGACACACACACTACCCCATTGCTACTCCATGCTCACCAGTTGCCTGCCCCCTTGCTCAGGTCACCAGGCCTCTCTCTGCATGGGCTACACAGCCACTTGGCCCTAGCCATCTTCCTGGGACACAGGGATCGGGACATGTGGCAGAGACACTGAGTCCAAGGATGCAGGTCCTAAGGCGCCGAGCGCTGAGGATCCCCAAGTGTTTAGTACAACAGACCAACTAATTCAGCACCATCCCCCAGAGCCAGGAGCAGCAGTACTGCAGGCACAAGCTGGTGAAACAGCTCGGCAGGTGGAGGGGAAGGGGCTTGCTGCCAAGCCGAATGGCCCGAATGGGACCCTGGGACCCACATGGTGGAGAGAGCCAGATCCCACAGCTTGGTGACTGACCTCCCAGCTAGGACTCGCAAAATAAATCAATAATGTTAAATTTGTAAATTTTGTCTTTTTTTTCTTTCTTATTTTTGTGTGTTGATATGGATGTGTGCACATACATGTGCAGAGACTACAGGCCAGCCTTAGGCATTGTTCTTTAGGAGCCTTCAAATTGTTCATTTTTCAAGACAGGGTTTCTATGTGTAGCTCTGGCTGTCCTTGAACTCACTATGTAGACCAGGCTGGCCTCAAATTCCTCCTGCTTCTGCTTCCCGAGTGCTGGGATTAAAGGCATGCCCAGTCATTTTTACTTTCTAAATGTGGGCAGTGTATGCACCTGTACACAAGTGCAGGTGCCTGAGGAGGCCAAGGTCCCCGTGGAGCTGGAGTCACAGGCAGTTGTGATCTGCCTGACACAGATGCTGAGAACTAAACCCAGGTCCTCTGGAAGAGCAGCAAGTGCTCTTACCACTGAGCCACCTCTCCAGCCCAGGGTTCCAGGTACCCTGGAGCCAGCCGATGTGGTTAGCTAGGCAGGCCGACCGGGCCTGAGGCTGCTTGACGGTCTCCACAGGCTGCCAGGTGGGCACATGCTTCCTAGAGAGCGCCGGGGATCGAATCCAGTCCTCACACTTTTTTAAACCATATACTTAGCACCCCCTTTTCTTCCTTCCTTCCTTTTAGATTTATTTTGCTGCATAGCCTAGGCTGTCTTGAAAGGCCTCAAACTCAGCTCCAGCCTCAACCCCCAGCTGCTGAGATACAGGAGTATGCTACCACACCCCCTGTTGTGTACAGTTTAACTTAGTCCACTATGGGACATCAGAGGACAGGTCTGAGGGCTGGTGGAAAGCATCCTCACCTGCCGTGTTATCTCACCAACCCGCAATTATTTCACAGGAGGAAGCAAGCATGGACAAGTGCTAGGTGGAGGCCAGAGATAAAGCTGAGGGCCTGGAATCCCAGAACGAGTGCAGCCACCGGACAGGGACAGGACCCTGAGACGCAATAAATGTGTCCTTTCCACATACGGATGGTGGCGCTCTAGTAAAGGAGGCAGGAGCATCAAGACTTCAGAGTCATCCTCAGCAACTCGATGAGTTCAAAGCTAGCCTGTGCTACATCAGTAATTTTTTCCACAGCCATTCATTCCCAATTCAGAGCTAGCCTGTGCTACATCAGTAATCTTTTCCACAGCCATTCATTCCCAATTCAAAGCTAGCCTGTGCTACATCAGTAATCTTTTCCACAGCCATTCATTCCCAATTCAGAGCTAGCCTGTGCTACATCAGTAATCTTTTCCACAACCATTCATTCCCAATTCCTGGAGGAAACCAGACTTCCATCAAAATGTGAGCCATGGAACTCTTTATTCTGGTTACACTGCAAACATTTGACTCCATCTGCATGCAGACACCTACTATACACTGGAAACAAGAAGCAGCCTCAGCTGCTCTGGCCTATGACTGACACAGAGGTGGCACACTTGCTACTGTTCATGGCTCTCTATATGTGCTGCAGGAGAACATGAGTCCCCTCTCCATCACACGAGAACTGGGCCTGGTGAGTGAGAAAATGGGCACACATTTCATTTGTGACACCACAGTCTCAGATAAACAAGAAACTGGCTAATGTTACCAAAGGTTCCAGCTGACCTGTGCCCCTGGCAGGTGACCTGGGAAGCAGGAAGTGCCCCATGATGAGGGTCCCTGCCACCCACACTAAGCACCATCATGTCCTTGACCACTGAGGAACATGAAGGAGCATCCGACACCACACACTTGACATGCCAAGTGTCATGGCCCAGCCAAATGGCCCAGCCGTCACACCCTCCATCCAGTGGGAACCAAGCAGCTGACTCCATACCTCTGGAGACCCCATAGAGGGTCACTCAGTTATCCAAGAGGGTCAAGAACTACTTCATGACCGAAGTAGGTATACCCAAGGAGGACACAGGTGACAGGTAGCGAAGGAGGCACAACTGTCCCTTTAGATAACTGAAGGGATCCCTCTCCGTTAGTGGACAACTGTGCGCTCAGGTAGCAAAGGGTGACAACTATCTCGTTACTAGCAACAGTGGGACCCCTTACCCCCACAGGTAGTGATAAAGGATAGCTCCTGACACCTTAGGTAGCAATGATGGAATCTCTGTCCCATCAGGTAGCAATAAGGGGGGTGACACGTGTCCATTCTGATGGCTACCATGAGGGCGCACGTCCCCTCGGGTAGCAATGATGGATGACACCTGTCCCCTTAGGTGGCTGTGATGGGACCACCTGTCCAGTCCAAAGAGCAACCTCGGGAGCAGCCGCTCCGCACCGGCTGGCGGCGTGGGAACACCTGCGGCGGCCTCAGCCCCGCCCCCGCGTCTCTCCCTCCTCCCCTCCCTCCTCCCCTCCCCTCCCCCGTGCTCTCACCCGCGCGGCCCGCGTCAGGCTCAGGTCCTTCATGACCTCCTCGAAGGCCGCCGTCTCCTCCGCCTGCTTCTGGTTGTGCAGTGCGATTTTCTCGCTAAATTTCCGCGGATTGTTCGAAGTCGCCATCTTCTCGCCGCCGCCTCCTCCTCCTACTCCTCCTCCACCTCTTCACCCCCCCCTTGCGGGCGCCACTGCGCAGGCGCCGGCTGGGCCCACGGCCGGAGAGCAATGCGCAAGCGCAAGCGCGGCCCGGATCAGGGCGCAGGCGCACTAGAGAGGCGCGCGGCCGAGGGTGGGGGGAGACGCATGCGCGCACCTGGGCAGAGCGTTGGGAAACCGGGACGTGGCTACGCAGGCGCACTGAGGCGCGCGCGGCCGGTGGACAGCGGTTTCCTGATTGTGGGTTCAACGCCTTCCCCGACTGACGAGTGGCGGAGGACACGGCAGCACCGGTGCCTGCATTCGCTCGACTCCAGCGGTCACTGAGGCGTTATGGAGCGCCCGATATATACCAGGGCACCGGCGTAAAACAGCAGCCGTGGTCCCTGGGCTACTGGGCTACACAGCCGGGGAACAACCTGGAGAGCTGGAGGCCCGAGGGGCAGCCCTGTGCAGAGCCTGGCTCGGCACACAGAAGCCGGGGTGCGGCCCCCAGCGACACACACACACGATTAGCATAATAAAGTTTCAGATCGGAGAAATGTGCCGCGCCTTTTAAGAATAGCGACAGTGCTGGACGTGATGGCAGAGAATGCTGGAGCCAGCGGATCCGGAGTTCAAGCCATCCTTAGCTGCAGAGTGAGTTCAAAGTCAGCCAGTGACACAGGAGACTCGCTCTAAAGGAAAGAAAAAAGACTGAAACTAGAAAAAATGGCTCAGAGGTTAAGGGCACCTGCTGATTTAGTGAAGGTACCGAATCCCAGCTCGTAGGTGGAGCAGCTCACAAGTCCTTGTGACTCCGGTTCTAGGGCATCCAACGCCCTCTTCTGGCCTCGGCGACGCACGTGCGCGTGCACACACAGCTTGTAGACACACATACACAGATGCATAAGTAAACTTTTTAACTTAAAAATAGTAAGAGCTTGGCCGGGTGATGGTGGCGCACACCTTTAATCCCAGCACTTGGGAGGCAGAGGCAGGCGGATCTCTGTGAGTTCGAGGCCAGCCTGGTCTACAAGAGCTAGTTCCAGGACAGGAACCAAAAGCTACGGAGAAACCCTGTCACGAAAAAAAAAAAAAAATCAAAAAATAAATAAATAAATAAAATTATCCTTGCCTACAACAGAGAATTCAAGGCCAGCCTGAGAAACTGTCTCAAAAAGACAAAAGAATTAAAAAAGAGAGAGAACAATGGGTCAGACAGGCCTAAGAGCAGTATTGTGGGGCCTGCTGAAGCAGCGTTAGGGACTTGTGGGCTCACATGAAGCTCACTGCAAGCAGTCCCCCTTCTCACTCCACATAGTAGGTCCCTCATCGAGACAATTCATGTCGTGGCCTGGAATCCACAGCACCTCTGGCTCCCTGCTGTGTGTCCAGCCCAGTCTTGTCAAAGCTGTCTGCTTTTCCATGGGTGCTCACAGAAAGGCCAGAAACCCAACTTGGGTTAGGAATAAAAGGGGGGATGGATGGAGCCTCCCGAGTAGCAGAGGTGGCCAGGAAGCAGTCAGGCTAAGAGCCACAGCCAGCTGTCTCCAGTCACACTGAGGGGTCCTAGTCACCGATGGTGAGTGCACACCTCAAGGGTGGCAGCAAGATAGAATGGGAAGACAGAAGGCTAGGACTTCCTCTTTGGCTAGAGTGATGGCTAGTAGGGACACTGGGGACACTAGTGTGAGGAACTAGTGGACACACCCACATTTGCCAATTACAATAGGGCAGCAGGTACCACGTAATATAAACAGGTGGTCGATGATGCAGGCGGCCGAGCTGACAGCTGCACCAAGGACAGTGGACAGATGTGAGGTAGACTGAGGGAGTTGTTGTGGTTTTAGAGGTAGGGTATCATTTGCAGCCCAGGCTGGCCTTGAACTTGTGGTAACCTTCCTCAGTGCTTGGCTGTCAACTCTAAACCACCACACCCAGACCTTCTCCCTGATAGGCTCTCCTGGAAACTAGGCTAGCCTCCAACTCCCTATATAGCTGAAAATGACTTTGAACTTCTGATCCTCCTGCCTCACTCTCAGGTTCTGGGATGACAGGTCCATGGTTCACCACAGTTTTGAGCACTTTCAGAGGCTTCTACTTATAAACAAATAGATATGTTTTTATATATGCACACACATATAGGCGCATGCATCTACAGATTCGGTTCTGAAACTTAGACATGATGGGAAATCGGCACACATAGGAACCTGTGTCTTCCTCAGTCACTCCCTTCATGTGGGTGTCATGGCCTCTCACTGATCCCAGAGAGCGCTGACTGGCCAGCGAGTCCCAGGAATCCTCCAGGCTCCACTTCCCTTGTGCTGGGATTACAGGGGTGCCCTGCCATAATGGACCTTTTCCGTGGGCACAGGGGACTGGAACATGCTTTCAGCGCTGACACCTCACTGAAGGAGGGACCCCCACTGCTCCAGCCTGCCTGACTTGTGTCTGCACTTCAAGGTTGCTGTGCGTCTGCAGTCTTTAACCCTGGGATTCCAGTGTGGAGAAGCCTGAGGCCTGATGATCCAAGGCCAAGGGGGCTGCTGGGAGAGCTGTCTCCAGCAAGCGGTTAACAGTGTTACTGCTCTTCTGAATGACTCCAGTTCTGTTCCCAATACCCGCATGAGGGCTGCTCACGACACCTGCCAGCTACAGCCCCAACGGGGACTGACTTCTCAGGTGCCTGCAGTCTCGTTCCCACACACACAAAGGGAGAGAGGAAGGGGTTCCAAACAAAACAAAAATCACACACATCTGCAGTGCCGATGGTGACTGCATGAAACACAGACCAAGGGAGGACAACAACCTTCAGGGGCAAGACTTTGTGGTCCTGACTCCAGCTGTGCCTAAGCCGGAGAACCAGGCTTGCACACGAGGCTATTGTGTGCCTCCATACCTCTACCTGATCCATCTTTTCCACCTGGCACTGCCTGAGACCACAACTTTTGTCCAGCAGAGAAGAGATGGGACACACTCCTGTCTGCCAGCTAGTTTTTGCCATTATCCTGAGATGTCAGATGGCACAGACAGGACCCACAGCTGCCAGAAAAAGATTGGACATGAGACCACAGCTAGAACTGGGCCCTGATAAACACGGGGCCACGGCTAGGGACTGGGTCCTGATAGACACGGGGCCACGGCTAGGACTGGGCCCTGATAGACACGGGCCACGGCTAGGACTGGGCCCTGATAGACACGGGGCCACGGCTAGGACTGGGCCCTGATAGACACGGGGCTATGGCTAGGACTGAGCCCTGATAAACGCAAATCTCAGCTTCCTTCTCACACGGCTTCAGAAGACTTTAGTGAAATTTAATGTGTGTGGAATAAAAGCCAGCTGTCTCTGCCACCTACTTGGATCTGAAGGGATTCCATCAGAAGCACAAATAAATAAACGGAGGAGACAGGGGCTGGAGGGAGCAAAGGTCAGTAGGTCATAGGTGGGGCTATGTTCTCCACACCCCATTCACCCCACAGTCCTGCCTGTGACTGGATCTTTCCTGACCCCCAGGTGGTAGAAGTGCCAGCCTGCTTATTGGGCAATGGCTTGACCATGACCCAAGCTCTCCTTGATCCACTGACCAACCCGATGAAGGTGAAATGGGATCAAGAGGGATCCCCCTTCCTCCTTTTCTCAAAGGAAGCTGCAGCGTGTGGTGACACACACCTGTCATCCCAGCACTAAGGACACTGAGGTGGAGGAATTGAAACTTCTCAGGTAGGCCAGAGAGAGGGCTCAGCAGGCGGTATGGCAGTTTGAAAGATGTGGCGGCACACACACCTTTCATCCCAGCACTACAGAGGCCGAGGCAGGTGGATCTCTCTGAGTTTGAAGCCACCCTGGTCTACAGAGTGAGTTCCAGGACACCCAGAGCTACACAGAGTAATCCTATCTACAAAGAACCAGTCCCACAGGCTCAGGCCCATATAGTTGAATGCAAGTGTCACTACTTGAGAAGAGTAGGGTTAGGAGTTGTGACTTTGTTAGAGGAAGTGTGTCACTGGGGATAGAATTTGAGGTTTCAAGTTCATGTCAATCCTAGAGACCCTCTGTTGTAGAACATTATGTTAAGCTGTGTTACTTTTGTTTTTGCTGTGGAACATTTGTTTTAGCGATGCAGAGATGTGTTGCTTTTGTTTGTTACATTTGTTTAACTGTGGAGCTGTGATTCTTTGCCTGTCTCAAACACCTGATGGTCTAATACAGTGCTGAACAGCTAAAGCTAGGTAGGAGAAGGGTTAAGCAGGGCTGGCGGTAGAGAGGAGAAATAGGAGAAACCTGGGAGAAGAAGGAGCAAGATAGCAAGGAGAGAAGCTGCTAGGGGCCAGCCAGCGAGCCAGCCAGCGAGCCAGCCAGCGAGTAAGAGTGAAAGTAAGATAGACAGAGAAAAAGGAAAAAGTCCAAAGGCAAAAGATAGAGGGATCATTTAAATTAAGAAAAACTGTCTAGAAATAAGCCAAGCGAAGGCTGGACATTTATAAGCAATAATAAACCTCCATGCATTTATTTGGGAGCTGGGTGGTGGCCCCCTAAAAAGAACCAAAAGAGCAGGACACCAAACAGCACCTCTCTGTCGACAGGAAGTAGAACGCTCTGCTACTTCTCCAGCACGTCTGCTTGTGTCCCCTAAGCTCCCCATCATGATAATAATAGACTAACGCCATGAACTGAAATACTTCCCTTCATAGGAGGTACAGCGACATGGTGTCTAGGGTGTTTGAATGTAACTGCCCCCGTAACTCATAGGAAATGGCACTATTGGGAGGGGTGGCTTTGTTGGAGGAAGTGTGTTACTGTGGGAGAGGGCTTTGAAGTTTCCTATGCTCAGATTCAGTTCACTTCCTGTTACCTGCAGATCAAAGATGTAGAATTCTCAGTTCCTTCTGCCTGCACACCACCATGTCCCACCATGATGACAATGGATTAAAGGGCTGGACTGTAAGCCACCCAATGAAATGTCTTCCTTTAGAAGACTGGCTATGGCTATGGTGTCTCTTCACAGCAATAGAACAGGGACTAAAACAGCAGGAAAAAAAGTACGGGAACCAGGTTTAGCTCCCAGCATCCACATGGCAGCTGTGAGCATCTGTGGCTCCAGCTCCAGGGCATCCAGTGCCCTCTTCAGCCTCTTGTGCATTGCGCTTCCATGGTGTACACACTCACCAAGGCATACAGAAATGACGGTTGGTCTCAACATGTAACTTCTCAGCTATTGCTTCAGTGATGTCTGTCTGCTGCCGTGTTCCCGGCCATGATGTTCGTGAACTTACCTCTGAAACTGAAGCTCACGCCTTGGCCACTTCATAAATAGGAACTAAGACACTGGGGCTTCCCTACGCAATGACAGTAGAACAGGGCTGGCAAGGTGATTCCAGCGACAAAGGAGCTTGCCACCAAGCACGATGACCTGAGTTCAGGTCCTGGGTCCCATGTAGTGGAAGAAGAGAACCAGCTCCTCTGAGTTGCCCTCTGACGTCCACATGCTCACTGTGGTGTGCAGTGACAGCATCCAAAATGGTGACATCCTTTCAGCTCAGGGTCTGGCACCTCCTTCTTATTTCTTCTTAACCCTAATCTAGCCTGGTGACTCTAGAAGCTACCACACATCTCCTTATGTAGCCCAGGGTGGCTCAGACTTGCAATCCTGTCTCAGCTTCTAGGTTGTTAAGATGACAGGCGTGTACACCCATGCCCAGTTTTGTGTGCAGCTATGTGCCTGGTCCATCACATTCACATCGTGTGCATGCGCACAGATGGAGGTGGAAGAGTGCACATTCTGCTCTGTGGTCCCTCGCTGACACCTCCACAGCACTGGGCTTACACCTGTGACCACACTATTTTCTTCATGGCTGCTGGGATCTTTCAGCTGCTGTGGCATTTTTCATTTGGTGTGTCTGTGATTGGTATGTCTGCACACTATGGAACACATCTGAAGCTCAAAGGACAACTTGCAGATGTCAGCTCTGTCCCTCAACCATATGGGTCTAGGGATCCAGTTCAAGTCGTCACTTAAACATCTTGCTGGGTCCCTAATTTTGAATTGTTTGGTTTCAACTGTCCAAAAATCTGTTCATTATGGCTTAAGTAGCATTTTTGAATAACAAGGAACCTAAGGTCCAAGGAACCAGCATGGGACGATGCATTGTGACATTAAGGATTTGGGAGACAAGGATGTCTCTATGATTCCCTTTCTTTGCTTCTCACAGTCACAACATGGCTGCAGAAGCTCCTGACATCCTGTCCACAGAGGAGGCAGCAAGTGAGGGGAGGGGGCAGCAAAGCCTCCCTCTTGTCCAAAGAAACTTCCGACCCCTTGGAGCTTGTTGACCAGAGCTGGGAGCTGTGCCCAGATTGAAAAACAACCCCAGCCAACAGCAGTGCCAAGAACGGTTCAAACCAAATCTTAAATCAACCCCGGGGGCTGGGCACATGGCTGCTGGCAGCATATCAGAGTTCTACTAGTGAGGAGGGAGATATGGCTGCTGGGTCTGCCCCTGGGAACACTGGGAGGAGAACTACGCAGGGGCCCTGCCTTGGATGGGAGTGCAGCTTCCTGCAGATGCTGGAATGAGGACTGGCCCTCACCTCTCTTGTGTATGGGCATCTTCTGGCCAGGTCCCTCTGGGCGAGGTCCCAGGCTGCTAAGAGAGGCAGCCAGGTGCCGCCAGCACTAGGAGCACAGGAGATCTGAGCCGTGAGAACACTCAAGCTGGAGCTGATTTCTGGAAAGCAGAGCCAGGGGCGGGCTTCCAAGCTGGCCAGGTCCAGGCAGATTCCCACCTCACATGGCTCCCTGGAGGCCCTTTTGGCCTGACTCACTACGAAGCCCTAGAAGTCACACTTGGCCTGTCTCTCGGGCCTGCAAACTGCTGTCCCCTGAGAGGGCAGTTTCCCACAGCCAGAGCCCAGGTGTGGAGGGAGGTGCCTGAGGACCTTGGCCAGGCCTTTAGGAGGAAGCAGGAAGCAGTCCAGTGTCCCTAGCTCAGGCAGTTCAGATCCCTAAGACTTTAGGATAAAAGGCAAAGAGAGGCCAAGGCAGGGATGCTACCAACCTGCAAGAGGGCATCTGCCGAGTGCTGGAGCTGGGCATCTGTGTATGTGACAGGGGTGGAGACCAGGGGCTCAAATATACTAGGGCTGCCCTTTGCCCCTGAGCCAGCCCCAGCCCCTCACTGGGGATTCTAGGCAGGGGAACTCACCCATGAAACACCCCTAGCCTAGTGGACTTGCCCGTAACCATATGTGAGAGCGTGTGTGTGTGTGAAGTGGTATACAGACAGAAGCACATGGGTGTGAGAGCACGTGTGTGTGAAGTGGTATACAGACAGAAGCACACAAGTTTGGCATGTCCAGTTTAGCTGTGTGTGCTTATGAGTTACTATGCGTCCTTGTGGTGTGCGCATGCGCAGTACAAAGGCGTGTTCCCTTTCTTGGAAGGACACAGACATTTACTGACTGAACATGCAAGTCAGCTTCTGCTAATTAAAAACAGCTTTTTCATGTTTAAAGTTTACAATACGAAAAATAATTTTCCTTCCTTTAGGGGGGGTGGAGTGGGCGCCAAGGAAGGGGCAGGGGCCCCCAAGAACATTCCATAAACTGGCTCAGATGGATCTGCACAACCCTCCCAGTTAGATACGGCAGCGCCCACCCTCTGCAGGAGTCCCTGCCAGTTCATTGGGGACAAGATGTTGTGAGGTGTTATGTGATCTGGGGACTGGTGGCTGGCAGACACCTCACCCTGCCCTCTGCAGGGTCTGTGCTTCTCGCTGGAGGCATTCTCTCTGCAGGAAGCTCAGGTTGGGGGGAGCTGGAATGCCTTGGTGGGTTCTATTTGGATCCTCCGGCAACCTGGCTACTCCCCTCCACACACCAGCTCTATTTTAGTACCCACTGCTGAGGACAAGGGCTGAGGTAGCAGGAATGAGGTGGAAGGTGACAGCAGTCTTGAGTATCAGAGACTTGTCCCCAGCTGTGGCCCTGTGCTGAGCTGGGGCTCGGAGGAAGAAAACAGGTTGACCGCCCCACCATAGCCTCTGCGACTCATCTGCAGCTGGGGTATATAGCTAAAGAGAGAGAAAGGCTTCTGGGGGCGGCAGCTACCTGATGAGGTCTCTCACCACTTCCCACACACCCTCTCCAGGCTGCCCACCCAGCTCTGGTATCCTGTAGCTCCCTGTTCCGTGGGAGAGGCCGGCAGGCTGTGGGAACTCAGCACTGGTCGTCGTTATTAAATGAGAGGACTCAGCAGAGTGCAGCAGAGGACGGGGGATTTCTCCTGCAATGAGGGTTGCACAAAGGTAACATCTGTCTGTCTGTAGAGAGGGAGACACTTTAAATCACCAGAGAACAAGTCTTTTGTGGAAGACAGTGGACTGCCTTTTTTTTTTTAAAGATTTATTTATTATGTATACAACATTCTGCCTCAATGTATGCCTGCATGCCAGAGGAGGGCACCAGATCTCAGTACAGATGGTTGTGAGCCACCATGTGGTTGCTGGGAATTGAACTCAGGACCTCTGGAAGAGCAGCCAGTGCTCTTAACCTCTGAGCCATCTCTCCAGCCCTGGACTGCCTTTCTTAAACAAGAGACAAAGCACACAACATCTGTACCCAGCATGGGAGATGGCACATTCATTCTCCACAGCCTCAGCTGTGCTTGTAGTCAGATGAGGCCACCCCACCTGACAGACAGGCCACCCCACCTGACAGACAGGCCACCCCACCTGACAGGGGCCACCCCACCTGACAGACAGGCCACCCCACCTGACAGACAGGCCACCCCACCTGACAGACAGAGGCCACCCCACCTGACAGACAGGGGCCACCCCACCTGACAGACAGAGGCCACCCCACCTGACAGAGGCCACCCCACCTGACAGAGGCCACCCCACCTGACAGACAGAGGCCACCCCACCTGACTGACAGGGGCCACCCCACCCGACAAACAGAGGCCACCCCACCTGACAGACAGAGGCCGCCCCACCTGACAGACTGGGGCTGCCCCACCAGAAAGGGGCCACCCCACCTGAAAGTTGGCTTTTGTGTTTCCTGTTGTGGTTTCTGTGGGTTTTGTTGTTCTGAGACAAGGTCTCTCTGTGGCCCTGGACAGCATAGCCCCTGCAATAACCCTCCCATCCATCTCGAGTCCTGGAGCCGGCCACTGCACTCGCTTGACTGGTCTTCTTAAAAAGGTGGACAGCACAGGCAAAGAATGCTGCCATCCCGAATGACCAGGGGACCTCTTGGGGATGCTGGAGTGTGCGTGTCACGAGAGTCAGGGGATTGGGGTGAAGATATGTGTCTCTGTATCTGCCACCTGTCACGGTGCCTCTGGGGCACCCTTTGGCTCCAGTGTCCGGAGTGCTGCCCAGGCACCAGGAGAGCTTATCCACAGCGTCTTAAATCACACTCCTTTGATTGTGTACATATGTGTGCCCTGTGCCCACGTGGAGATCAGTGGGAAATTTTAAGAAGTCAGTCTCTTTCTGCCTTGTGGGTCCCAAGACAGAGCTCTGGTTATCGGGCTTGGTGGCAGTGCCTATACCCACTGGACAGCCAGGATTTTAACCGGCCAGGACACAGGGAGGGGCAGTTCCCATCGGGACTTGGGTATTTTGTGCCCACAATTTTATTTTTGAGTGTGTGGCCAGGACTGAGGGAAATCGAGGCTGAGTCACACAGGACAGCACAGAGATGCACCCTGGGCAGTGGCTACGTGTTGCCCATAGCTCTGGAACCAGATCTCTCTGCTGTCTCAGGGCTGAAAAGTAGGGGCCCCGAGGGCTGGGGATTCGACACTCATGGGGAACACAGGCAGGCTAGAATCAGAGCTACCTCCCGTGGCCAGCGCGGGGCAGCAGGACAGCGGCACAGGCAATGCCTGCGAAGGACTCGGGGAAGTGTAGGTCTCTCTCCCACTCGTCTGTCTCAGTGTTGTACACCTGCACAATGCCTGTGACGTTGTTCAGCCTCCAATTGTAGCCACCCACAATGTAGATCTTCCTTTCCAGTAGGCAGCAGCCTGCCTCCGACTGGCCGGTGCGCATAGGGGCCACACTGGTCCACTGGTCAGTATCGGGCACGTAGTACTCCACCGCAAGCACATCGAAGCAGTGGTCCACATGGTCCATGCGGCCACCTAGGGCATAGATGCGGCCTGCAGCACCCAGCATAGCGTGCAGCACGCGAGGCTCATGCATAGGTGCCCTGGGCTCCCAACGATCAGCCGCTGGATCATAGCACTGTACCGCCTTCTTGTCCTCAGCAGAGACACCATAGCCGCCTGAGATGTAGAGGCGACCAGCAGCTGCAGCACCCGCATGGCCCCAAGTGCGACGCTTGAGCGGGCAAGCAAAGTCCCAGCTGTCACGGCGGGGGCAGTAGCGCTCCACAGAAGCCAGGCTGCCTGCGCGATTGCGGCCACCAGTGGCATACAACAGTCCACCCAGTGCTGTGAGCTGGAACTGCACGCGGCTCTCACGCAGCGCCCTCAGCCGCAGCCAGCGATTGCGCTGCGGGTCGTAGCGGTAGCAGGCGTCCACGGCGCCCTCGCCACTGCGGTGCTGCAGGTGCTGGCCACCTGCCACGTACACGAAGTTATCAAGTACAGCCACGCCTGCGTGGCTGCAGCCTAGCTCCATCTCCGTGAGCTCGCGGAAGTGGCGGGCCCCAGGCTCAGGCAGCTGAAATACCTTGCTGCTGACTGCTCGGTCACTGTCGGTATAGGGTGTGCCTCCGAAGGCCACTAGGGATGTTACATCTGAGCGTACAGCCGTTCTCGGCGACTGCATGTCATGCTGGCGACAAGGCAACACGTGGTAGCTGAAGGCCTCCAGCAGATATTGGCGACACAGGGCATCGTCCAGCATGACATCGAGCGTCTGCACGCTGTCCACCAGCTCAGCCGGCTGCATGAGCGGGAAGCGCACATGGCGCAGCACGAGGCTGGCACGGGCACGGCGGGCGGGATCATGCTGCAGCCAGCGCACAGCAGCGCGGAACAGGTCGATCTCGGTGCAGCTCTGCAGCCGGTTGCTTTGCAGGAAAAAGACAAGGCGCTCAAGTGGCAGGCGCAGGAAGTCCTCCTCAGCGGCAATCTGCAGGAAGTGGCGGAACGTGAAGGCATCCACTGACTCTCGTAGCGATGCCAGGCTGAAGGTGGTAGCCATCTGTCCAATGTGCAGGCATGTCTCCACACTCATGGCGGCTTTCAGAAAGTCCTCGCACAGCTCCACCACTGGCAGCATCTGCAGGAACACAGCGGCGCCCAGCACATCCTGCACACAGTCCAGGTCCAATGTCACCTCCGCACTGTAGGCGAAGTCAATGATGTGGCGCAGGCCTCGTGCAGACACACCGTGCAGCTGGATGATCGCCTGGCTGGCCTCGCGCATGCCACCAGTGAACATGGCCCTGAAGGTGGCAACACACCTGTGAGCAGGGCTGGCAGTGCACCCAAGCTATGTTCTGCCCTCACCCACCCTGTGTAGCAGCAGGGAAGCCAGCCATTACTGCTGGCACCTCTGCAAGGGCCCCCCAACCCCCAAGGCCGGCCAGCAGGTCTCTTGAAGAGACACCAGTTGCAGATCTGCAGCTACCTGTTGCCCGTGAGTTCCAGAGACAGTGCCAGCCTGTTCTTTCCACCACTACAAGAATCCGGGGTTTCTTCACTGACTCCCTGCAGGCAGGATAACTTCCCGTTCCCCGGGTCTAGGTCCCAAGGGCATTACTCTGTCCATTACTGCTGTCTTCAGGGAAAGCTCTGGAGATCTGACCAGAGTCAGCTCAGTCCCCAGCCTGCGTGAGAGACCTCTGTCGGGGTCTCTGGAGTCAGGTAGCAGCTGGTAAGACGAAGCAGACTCATACATGCGGGCTCTGGGAAGGCCTGGGGTCAAGTCTCAGCTCCCAGCAGGAAGCAGAGGTCTGTCATTCCTGTCACTTCAGAGCAGCCCTCACAACTGTGGCAGGCTTTCCTGATAGCTCTCAGTAAGGGAGGGACAGGCCCCCATCATCAAAGATGATGTCAACCCACAGTGAGCTTCATGCAGCCCAGCTCAGGTCACACCAGGAGGGAGGCCGTGGGTGCCATGGAGGGGATGCCACCTAATGGCACTGTTCTGTGGGTCAGCACCCAGGGCCCTCCTGCAGCCATGAGGAACAGCTCCCAGACCCGACCTCAGCCTGGCCCTCAAGAGTCCCCACCAGTCCTTGGACACTTCAGTGAGAAAAGAGGCCAGACCAGACGACAGGATAGAGTTTTGCCTTTTAAGGCCTCGCAGGCTACACTGCCAGAGCGGGGGTGCCTTTAAAAGGCATGGCTGGCTGGGCCGCCCACCCGCCCCCAAATCCACAGTAAAAATAGCATCGATGCCCCAGTTGGCTTGCCTGCAGCAGCTCCCCAGAATGGCCTCGCTGAGCCCCAAAGAGAGCAGCTGGGCCTAGAGGGACATGGGGCCCAATACGCACCTGGGTGGCAGTGGACCTGGAAGACCTGGTCCTCTTAGAACGGGGGTCACAGCTATTCCTGCTGACACCCCTGCTGGCAGGGCACCCTGTAACCAGCCACAGTCCCAGCATAGGGGACAGTAGACATCCGTGTGCCAGTGCAGGCCTGAGGCCATGGAGGAAACAAGAGGATAGCTCTAGGGCTCAGAGAGCCTCCACATGGATACACAGCTCCCATGTCCGGCCAGTCCCTCGGGCAGCAAGGGGTTCATTACGACTTCACCCCTGCTGGGTACACGAGGATGTGGAAGCAGTATCAGGAGTTCACGGGCAACCTAGGTTTCACTGTGTGAGGCTAGCCTGGGCTACATGAGATCAATCTCCAGAGAAAAAATAGGGGAGGTGTGCAAGCCTGCAGGATTGCTCAGGGGTTAAGGTACTGGCTGCTAAACCTGACACTTGAGTTGGAACCCCAGGATGCACACTAGGAAAGAACTGATGCATGCAAGATGTTCTCCGTCCTCCATGTGCACACGTGGAGCACGTGTGCACTCACCACACACACGCACACACACACACACTCACCGTGGAGCACGTGTGCACTCACCACACACACACACACACACTCACCGTGGAGCACGTGTGCACTCACCACACACACACACACACACTCACCGTGGAGCATGTGTGCACTCACCACACACACACACTCACCGTGGAGCACGTGTGCACTCACCACACACACACACACACACACACACACACACACTCACCGTGGAGCACGTGTGCACTCACCACACACACACCCACACACACTCACTGTGGAGCATGTGTGCACTCACCACACAAACTCACACGCACACTCACCGTGGAGCACGTGTGCACTCACCACATACACACACACACACACTCACCGTGGAGCACATGTGCACTCACCACACACACACACACACACACACACACTCACCGTGGAGCACGTGTGCACTCACCACATACACACACACACACACACACTCACCATGGAGCACGTGTGCACTCACCACACACACACACACACACACACACACTCACCATGGAGCACGTGTGCACTCACCACACACACACACACGCACACGCTCACCATGGAGCACGTGTGCACTCACCACACACACACACACACACACACTCACCATGGAGCACGTGTGCACTCACCACACACACACATACGCACACGCTCACCATGGAGCACGTGTGCACTCACCACACACACACACATACACACGCACATGCTCACCATGGAGCACGTGTGCACTCACCACACGCACACGCTCACCATGGAGCACGTGTGCACTCACCACACACACACTCACCACACACACACGCTCACCATGGGCATGTGTGCACTCACCACACACACACACGCACACGCTCACCATGGAGCACGTGTGCACTCACCACATACACACTCACCACACACGCACACGCTCACCATGGAGCATGTGTGCACTCACCACACACACGCACACGCTCACCGTGGAGCACGTGTGCACTCACCATACACGAAATTGAAACAAAGACTTAAAAAAAGAGAGGGGACCTAAGGGTTTAGTTCGGTGTCAGAGTGCTTACCCATCATGCACCAGGGCTGAAAAATAAAAAAGCAGAGGTCAGGTGTGCTGGCACACTGGTCACCTCAACACCAGAGATGGGGAAAGGTACTGTGCTTTTGAGGCTAATTCAAGCTACAAAGTAAAACACTATCTTTAAAACAAGGTGGTGGTTGCCACATAGGTCCCCGCATAGGAGGCAGAAGTGTGAATTCAAGTCCCCAAGGCCAGGCTTACCTAAAGTAGTCACTGCAGGCTGCCAGGACCACCTTGTGTGCATGGAAGGCTTCGCTGTTGACAGTGAGGACCACATCGAGCAGTTGGCCCTGTGCACGGAGGGCGGCCAGGCCCTGAAGCAGGCCGGTGCTGTGGCCAGCTGCAGAGAAGGTGCACTTGAGGGCCCCACTCCTGTCAGCCAGGCTGCAAGGACAGCAGAGAGGCATGGCTCAGAGACACACACAAGGACATGGAGCACACGTGAAACTGTAGTACCGAGGGACAGAAGCAGTCGGAACAGAGTCCCACATGGGAGGAAGCAGGCTAGACGGCACAGGAAGTTGAAGGGAAAGACACCATTAAACACACAAGGGTCTCCTTGTGGGGCAATAAAAAAGCCTCAAAACCAGGCAGAGGTCAAACCTGTGTCATTTGGGAAACACTGCAAGACTGCCTACCAGAAAACAGGTTGCTCCTAGGGCATGGCTGAGGGGTGGAGCCCCTGCCTAGAATCCCCAGTGAGGGGCTGTGGGCGTGGCTGAGGGGTGGAGCCCCTGCCTAGAATCCCCCAGTGAGGGGCTGAACACTTCATTCAGCACTCTGGATCAGCAGGGGGATCAGGAGCTGAGGGTCATCTTCAGCTACAGAGTAAGCTTAATGGCAGCCTGGGCTGTGTGAGAACCTATTTCATAAACACAAATAGGTGGAATGCAATGGGAGGCAGAGGCAGGAGGATCTCTGTGAGTTCAAGGCCAGCCTGGTCTACAGAGTGAGTTCCAGGACAGTCAGGGCTTCACAGAAAGACTGTCTAAAACAAAACAAGGAAAGTCAAAAGACAAGCATATCCTCATGCCCATCTGTCCTCATTTCCCTGACTCAATTCACTCCCTGTCCAGCCTCCACCAGCCTCTGTTGTTCCCTTTGGATACTCTTTGCTGAAGCTCTGTACATAACACCCCCTTCGGAGCGCAGGAGGGGGCAGTGCTGCTGAGAGCCTCCATCAAGCCTCCCCAAGCCACATCCCCACAGGACCAGTCACCCTCCACCCTCCTCCTGCTGAGCTTGCTCTCTCTATGAGAGTGCTACCCCTCTCTCAGGATTACCAGCCCTTTGGGACCTGCCCTTCAATTCTTGGGCCAGGAATGTGGGGCACTGGGCTTTCCAAGAAATGAGGGAAGGCTCTGGGACCCCACCCACCAGCCCCCAAATACGGAGCTTTCAGAGCTGGATGCTATTCCAGCTGCACAGGGCACCTGACCCCATTATCCCCGCCAGCTACCCAATTTGGTGGGTAGGGTTGGGCACTGCCACGGTTGATAAGGCCTGTGCTACGGAGAGGTACAGGCTGCCCTGGGGAGGAAGTCATGAGTCCTTAGGATGGCAGGAAAGTCCAGGATCAGCACTTAATGCCAAAATATTGGGGAGGGAAGGGGTCCAGGTAGACCAGAGACCCTGGCTTGCTGTGTGGGTCTCCTAGGCCAGGTAGAAGGTGCCAATCTCTGCACTCACCACTGTCTTCTTCAATAGTAACAGCATTCTGACCAGGCTAATGTGGCAGTCTGAGTCCCCATTCTCTGGTTCACGAACCCTCAGTAAGGCCTGGGATGCTTAGGACTGACCATATCCCTCAGGAGCCTGCAAGGTTTGGGAAAACTGAGACACTCAGTGGACACGTACAGTCTGTGCAACAATGCCAAAGCACAGAGGCCCAGCTTCCTGCCCCAGCTCAGAGCTGTGAGGAGGCTGCTGGGGCTGGGGTCTGTGTCTGCAGAGCCCCTGAGAGCTCGTGGCTTGCCTGAGCCTATCCGATGCAGTGCAGTGTAGGCCTGGGTCAGGGCAGAAGCCACAGACTGATAGCCAGGCTCAGATTCACTGTGGGGAGGTGTCCCTGTGCAGCCTCCCTCCTGGGGGGTGGGTAGTTAAAATACACTCCTGTCTTCCATGCCCATGGGGTTCTGAGGCAGGAGGATTGCTACAAGTTCAAGACCATCCTGAGCTGAGTAAGACCCTGTCTCATAAAACGGAATAAAAGGCTATGATGGCTCAGTGGGTGACGGTGTCAAGCTCGACCCCCGGAAGCCACAAGATATTGAGGTCAGATTCATGAGGTTGCCCTCTGACCTCCACACACAGGTACTCATTTCCCCCAAATAAATGTAAAAAAACAATCAGAGTGTCCCAGCTGCAGGGACCCTGGCTCTGTATGTTGAGGGCTGGTACACATGCCATCTTCCACTATGGTCCCCAGAGTCACCCACAGCTGCAGGCTGAAGCCCATCAGCTATGAGATGTAGCCTTGAGGGTCACCAGTAGCAGCACCTGTGCGAGTGGGCTGGAGCAGGCCACACCCAGAGGCTACCAGTCCTCTTCTCACCCTGCACCGTGCACACACGTGACCTGATTTGTGAGTTCACAGGCTTTAGGAAGAGCAAGGGGAAACAGACACGTGCACACCCCAGATAAATGGTCTGGGAGGGGCAGATGTCCCCTGGGGGCCACAGTGTAGCTATTGTCCCACTGGCAGGGCGCTAGAATCAAAGGACAGGTGGCGCAGCAGGTAAAGGTGCTGTGGCCTGAGGACCCGAGTTCTGTCCCTGAGCTCACAGGGTGGCAGGAGAGCTGGCGCCCACAGGGTGTCTCTGACCTCCACAGTCACTACGGTACATGCCCAGTCCCCAAACATGAATAAGTGCAATAATAGGTTTTTTGGAGGAGGGGCTAGAGACGGGGGTTCTCTGGGTAGCCCTGGTTGTCCTGGAACTTTCTCTGTAGACCAGGTTGGCCTCTGATTCTCAGAGATCTGCCTGCCTCTGCCTCTGCCTCCTGAGTGCAGGATTAAAGTGTGCCACCACCGCCTGGCTATTAATAATTTCTTAGAAGATCAGTGAGCATATAAAGTATGTGGCACGAGCCCTCTCTGACATACTGGCTCAGTTTTCCTGAGCTCTCAAGGGAGCAAGGTCCTCTGGAGTCACCATGCAGCTCCACAACCCACAGCCCACAGCCCCTGGGGGGGACAGACAAAAAGCCAATGGCAAAGACTTCTACAGTAATGTAAGGACTTTCTTAGTTCAAGGAGAGGGGACAGAAGACTGTGCACCAGATGTGCTGCACTGATTGGAGCATGTGTCCTTTGGACACTGGGCTACTGTGATTCTCCATATGTAAAAAGTGTCATGAAATTAATACAAAGCCTGCATTCTGATGAAAGGTGCTTGTGGCTGGAGAGATAGCTCAACGCTTGAGTACTTGCAAGTCTGGCAAACCCAAGGTCAAGTCTCAGCACTCATCCTAACTGGCTCATAACTAAGCACCTGTAGCTCCAGTCCAAGGGGATCCTGTGCTTTCTTTTTGCCTCCACGAGTACCTATATACATGTGGCATGCACTCACACACACATATTATATACATAAATAAAAGTTTAAAATGCAGGGGTTGGAGGGATTGCTCAGTGGCTAACAGCGATGGCTGCTGCTCTTGCAGAAGACACAGGTTCAGTTCCCAACACCACACAGAGGTTCACAACCATCTGGAACTCCAGTTCCTGGGGATCTGACACCCTCCTCTGGACTTCACAGGCACTGAACACATGTACACAGACTTTCAGGCATGCCAAACACATATATATCCATCAATAAATAAATGAATGGAGAGATGGCTCCGAGGTTAAGAGCACTGAACGCTCTTCCAGAGGTCCTGAGTTCAATTCCCAGCAGCCACATGGTGGCTCACAGTCATCTGTAATCTGATCTGGTTCCTTCTTCTGGCCTGCAGACCGAACACTGAATAAATAATAAATAAATAAATTTTTAAAAAATAAAAAATAAATGAATGAGCAAATAAAGGATGAAGCAGAGTTGGGAGCCGAGGGCTAACAGGAAAGGAAGTAGTGCCCTGAGAGGGTACTGGGTGCCAGCAGGAGCTCAGGCCTAAACAGGGCCACACTAAGCCTTCCCACCTACAAAGGGATGTCACTTGGAACCTGATGAAACAAATGGAACCTGCAACCCCACGGACAACAAAACTCACATACTTACGTTCCTACGTCATGATGCATCTATGTGGAACCCCTAACCTACTTTTTGTCATCTACACACGCACCACACCTAGTGAGATCTGCATGCGGTGTGTGCAGCTGTCACCATGCACTCTGTGAGGACTAACAAGGCAGGAGCCTAGCTCCACGGTGCCCAAAGTGTCGACATCCTTCTCACCCAGGGCTGGACCGTGCACTAGGAGCATGACAGTCACAGGACTGAGCACAGCCCTGACTGGCAACTCAGGCAGGGACTGCCACAGTCGTCCTGGTAAATAGACATGCTGTCACCGCCTTCAGAATGGCTTCTGTCTCTGCTCTCAAATTAGCACTACTCGGCCATGGCCACAAAGCTGGGCAGCAGTTAATGCAGAAGCTCGGTAAAAGTACAGAGAACAAGAAACTGGGTGCTCAGCCATAGACAGGACATCTACACCCCACACTCTCTAGACTTAGGGAACATTGTGGAAGGGGGTCGGGCAGAGAAAATGTGAGAGCAGAGGATGGGAGGAGGACTGAAGGGCTGTCCCCGCACATAGCGTGGTGACTGCACTCAGGAACCACTGGGGCCAACAGCTCACCAGCGGGCTCCAGTAACTAGACGCAAATGTGCATACACATAAGGCGGGAGGAGATGGGAAAATTGGGGGGTGCACAAGATCACAACATGTATGAAATTATCAAAAATAACTTATTTTTTTAAAGAGCCAGGTGGTTGTAGTGCACGCTTTTAATCCCAGCACTTGGAAGGCAGAGGCAGGTGGATCTCTGTGAGTAGCCCAATCTACACAGTGAGTTCCAAAACAGCTAGAGCTGTTACACAGAAAAACTCTGCCTCGAAAAACAAAAAAACAAAAGATTAAATAAAAGGTTTTTAAAAATGGGAAGCCTAGAGCTTGTGTGTGTAGCGTGGACCCATTCTTCTTCAAAGGTGGTTGGTTGCCTGCCTTGAGGATATAGGCATAGGGCGGGAAGGTGCTCAGGGCATAGCTGGTGTGAGCCAGCCCATATTCTCACTGGTGAGAATGGCCTAGGTGGGGAAGGCCCAGTGCCTCCTCTCCTGAGTCCTCTGTTGTCACCTTCCTTGAAAACAAAGGTGGACCCAGAGTTGAGATGACTCTGCAGGTGACATTGCTTGCCACCAACCCTGACAAGCTGACAGTCCCTA